CCAAGGGAAAAATTTCTCTTCCACCCTGTTGCGGGATGTGTGCAACCTGCTAGGGACACACAAAATTCACACCTCGCCATATCACCCCCAGACTGACGGTATGGTCGAGCGATTACATAGGACACTTACCTCCATGCTAAGCCACCAGGTGTCTGAGTCACAGACTGATTGGGATCTCCACATACCTGGTGTCTTGGCCGCCTATAGAATGGCGCCCCATGCTGCCACGGGGTACTCGCCATTCTATCTTATGTATGGTAGGGAGGTTTGCCCCACAATCGACGTACAATTGCACATTAAACAGCCCGCACCTAAGGCTAAGATTGCCGACCACATCCGTGCTAATGTGCGTCGTCTCGTGGATGCCCGGGAGGCTGCTCAAAATAACTCAGAAGCCCGTCAGCTTGCCAATGAGCGGTTGCGGAATCTCCGCACGTCCCGCCACGTTTGGGTAGAAGGGGACCGCGCCTGGCTCCACTGCCCGCAGGTACCATTGGCTACTTCCTCAAAACTGCTTAAGCCTTGGAGAGGCCCGGTTGTTATTATTCGCGTTCTCCGCCCGCAGTGTGTCAGGATCCAGCATGGCAAACGACGTTGGTTCGTGCACCCGTCACGTCTAAAACCTTACATTCAACCCTACACACCTCCTTCACTTCTCCGGGGCCGAGAGTGCGACATGTCTGACGAGCCGCGCCGCGATGATGCTGCTTCTAACTCTCGGGCAGGTCCCGCTGTCCCGCCCTCAGGTGCCTTGGGAATGAAACCCGTCACGGCCGACCCAGCGGGAACAAGCTTGCCCGCGGGATCAGCAACCCAGGACACAAGCGCAACAGCGGGTCGTCGGTCCCCTCCTGCCTCCGTCGCGACCGATGGACCTGCCACTCGGACTCGCTCAAAACTCAAACGATTTTCATGACCCCCGCCCACGAACTCTCGTCCCGATGCCACTCACCTTGCCATCATGCATAGTGGGCGATTGGGGCGTGCGTTCATCCTGCATGTGTTTATACAGTGTTGTTCTGCATCGGTGGCCTGGAGTTTTTTATATACGCGTGACCACAGGAGGGGGAGAGGCGCTTTCTTCTCATTTTTTTTCCTTGATTTGTCACACACTCATTCTGATGGTTAACAAATAATTTATTGTACAATTGTATTTTTTTTGACAGCCGGGTCGGCTGGAGGCTACGTAGAGGCGGGTAATGTAGTGACATAAGAAGGAAAGGGCTGCTGGGGGCTCTGGGACCCTGGGCTGGCCAGGCGTTTAAGCCTCTTGGCACCAGGCGCTGGGTTCCCAGGCGGGTCCAGACGCTTAAGCCTCTTGGCGCCAGGCGTTGGGTTCCCAGGCGCTTGAGCCTCTTGGCGCCGCCAACGGGGGTGGGCTGTATGTGCTCTGTGGGATGTCTGGTGGCGCACACGGCCTCACACCTCGTTGGACTAGGCATAAAAGATGAGCTCCCTGGACGATCAGGGCCAGTCATAGCGCAAGACCCAAGACCAGCCATCTGAGGACCCTGGGACGCTGTGAGAGCCCGTGGTGGGACTCTGGAACGCCCGACTCTACGACCTTGTGAGGACGAGTTCCAGAGCGTAGCCAGAGTAGTGTATCTAGGCTGTGTACCTAGGCTGTGTACCTGGGAGTTGTTACAGAGTATCAGGACTGGTGGACTGTTGGAGTGCTGTTGGATTGTAATAAAAAAGTTACCTCTACAAGTGTCTCCGGAACCTGTTACACATCCATACAAATGGGTAAGGTTTAGGACTGTGACTCGTGCAGCTACTATAGCTAAATTGGGTACGCTGAAAGAAAGTGCCAGGCCCACTCCTACCGTTTACCGCAGCCTTTGCTCGGAATCTGCCTCAGTAGCGTATTATTACAAATCAGTCGAAAACTCCATTAAAAAAAACTAACTTGCATAGCCACAATCGCCATCCTGAAAGGAAACACTGATCCGATCTCTGACCTCCATGAATAGATTTGCTGCGCACTTCTGAGGTCTTGGGGGATGGAAAACCTCAGATCAGATAACATCATGGGCCAAGGTGGGGTTTACCCTTTTGGGGCTGCGATGCCTCAAATATTTGAGAAAGTAGCCACCCCCTGTGAGTGGGTGGCTCACATAACATGTTGTGGAAGCACAGAAAGGTGATCCAGAGCTTGAGACCAGTTACAGCACCGGGCAGAGACGACCTCTCAAGCAAACTGCTAAGGGAGGGTGGCATGTGTGTTTAGGCTGTCCTATATGACATCATTACTATTGTCTGGACCACAGGATGGGTACCGCAAAATTGGAAGGATACCCTGGTGGCCCCCATATTTAAGGTGGAGCGCACTGATTTTGACAACTTTCAGGGCATCTCCCTCCTCAGTGTACCAGGAAAGGTCCTGGCAAGTATTATTCCATATCGCCTCCCCAGGCACACTGAGGAGAGGCTTGTGGAACACCAATGTGGATTCAGACTGGGACAGCCCTGCATGGACGTCATGTTCTCTGTCTTCGTGCTACAGCAGAGGTGTCGGGAATTTAAACAGGACTGACATATCTGCTTTATTAACCTGGTCAAGGCTAGGGGTCTGGGTTATTCGTGATGCTTTCAGGAGTCCCTGATCCTCTGCTTTCAATCATTGAGGACCTTCATTATGGTGGGCAGGCCCAGGCAAAGCTGCATGACAAGGAGTTGTAACCATTTCCTATTCACCTTGGGGGTGCGAGAGGGATGTCTTCTGGCCCCTGCTTCTCAAAATGTTTCAATCCACGGCTCAAACATTGGAGCTTGCTCGATCTTCACTGTGGGCCTTTCATCCAGTAGCGGATTGATCATTCATAATGATGTGAGCGCCGCTTTCTCAAGTGATACACGGATGGAAACACGGAATTTCCACAACCTCGTGTATCAATCTCCCATCGATCACCAGGCCTCGCCCTGACTCAATTGGACGGCAGACGCATGAGGCTCGGATTTAAATAATACCTGGAGGGGCACCAAACTCAGCCACTTACCTAAAGGGGGGGGGGGGGAGTTGTGTAATTTTGTGCATCAGACGATGCGCTTGTCTGTGAGTTTAAATGGCCTTCTGTTCATCTGTGTTATTGGAATTACTGTATCTGTCTACTGTGTTTATCAAATGTCTTGTGTCTTTGTTTTACTTCGACGTCTGTGTGTCTCTCAATCAATTATAAACATCCCGGCACACCTGCTGGAACTTTACCGCCACGGCACACACCCGATGCGAAGTACTGATTTAATCACGTCGTCGTGATTCAGCCCTGCAGGGCGGCGTGACCGCGACGAAGCCATACGCATGGCTTCAAGAGAAAACGATGTCATGCGGAATGGGATCAATGGTAACAATAAAACACGAGTCGGTCTTGCTTTGTATTGAACGTTATTCTTCTTAATTTGGTCAGAATGTAAATTTGGAAAGGTGAAAATTTTGGGGGAATGTCCTCAGCAAGAGACATATTTTTGTCTTCATTGAAAGCTTTCGTGACTGCAGGAATTCACACTCTTTTGGTCTATCGGTAAAGTCACGTAGATAGAAAAATAATAAATCACAACGTTTCGATCACAACACAGGCAATCATCTTCAGGTGAGAGAGAGAAAGCTACTGATATAAGGGGTTGCATCACTAGGGTGGATGTCTATGTATTGACAGGCTGGATGTCCTACTCGATCTGCCACCAAAGCATCATTAACATGCTAATCTCTCACAATACAATGGCTACTTCCACAGCCTCAGGGAGACCATCTCTAGTCCCGCCCTCTTACCCTGAGGGGACTCCCATCTCAGGCCTATATAAGACCTTGTTTCAGTAGCTTTCTCTCTCTCACCTGAAGACGATTGCCTGTGTTGCGATCTATTATTTTTCTATCTACGGGACTTTACCAAAAGACTCAAAGAGTATTTTTGTCTTCGTTATTTTTCATTTGACAAACCGTATGTGAGATTCAGAACATGATGGACGGACTCCTGTGCATTTTTTATGGATTTTCTCTGCATTATTTTCGTACTTTTCTGTACAATATTAACAGCATGTACTTGGTAGCTCTTCGACTTTAGTTCACTTAACATGATCCTGCCATAGGTCTTCTAACCATTGCCACTTTATAAGGAATAACGCTTTTTATAACACACATATTGACAGTTGTATACTGAAAAATATAGAATTTAAATTATTCCTAAAATAAATACTTTGCATAATTACAATGCCATCAAATTGCTCCAAAAATATTTTGCAAAACAATAATAAAAATGGATAGATATTTATTAGATTTGTAATTATTGTGCTTGTTTTTTTTTGTCTGAAACGAAAATATTTTCTAATGTAAAACGAGCAACAGATAATTATGAGATGACAATGTTTTTGAAAATGAATGATACAATTAGTGCGTATCATAGTGTCAGCATATCGCGACGACCCTGGTAGGAATGCGTCAATCTGATCTCAGCCACGGATCAGTCACTACGCTGAAGTCAAGGTGGTAAAGAAGCAATTGCTCTCTCACGTCACTAATGGAGGAAGGGCATCCACGACAGTGAACTCTCGAGGGCGTTTGGTCTTCTGTTCCATGCTGACCAGACGCATTGGAAGATGTAGGTATACCCACACTTTAGCCCAGCATACGACCTGCCAATTGACTGTGGCGTACCCATTGATACTGCTGGGTGGACAGAGGCGGGGAAGATTTAATACACTGCACCATTGTTTTCAACTGCCACGCCGAGATGAAACCAAATCGGCGACCTGTGGACTGCAAGTCCAGTGTGTTAAACATCATGGCAGCAGACGTTAATAATTCCTTGATGCTCTGTAACGCATTGCTTATCAACAGCTCGGCATCCGTGTGATGCAGTTGCAATATGTATTAAAATGCCAAGAGAGAACTAACTTGCGAACTGATGCACACAGAGGGCAATGGATGTGATCCATGAGATGGCCGTGGAGGATTCTTGAAAGTATTCTGTGAATTCTATGAAAAATACTCCGACAGAACGCACCACGCCAAACACCAGGGACACCTGAACGAAAGCGGCCAGGACAATGAGCCAGCCCCAGCCTCCATCTGGCGCTTGCTGGCACGTCTCCATCACCACCTGCAGAAAACACAGAGCACAAACCACAGTCTGAAGTGGAATCATTACATAATGAAAGTAATGTCTAGACGACATTATTCATTGTCAATTTTTTATACGACATTATTGTCCTTTTATAAGTATCAAATGATGGATTCCCACCCAAATGAGCATTGAGACAGTGCTCATCTCCTGGTCCACAGCTCGAAGCCAGAGTTGAAATTTTCATATCTTTTTGGCAAAGGTGTGTTTCTTCACCAGACACGCTTGCAATATGCGGCATGTGAATACAAAGGGAATCCATTACTGCTATGCAAACCCTAGCTCAAGTAATATGTTGCAGAATGCTTAGTTGTGTAATAAAAGGACTCAGACACTTCTTGCTGACTCCGTGTCCTTTATTTGGGGTTCGCGTTCTCCTTCCCACACGGCACTCCTCCTGAGACTCTCTCCCTGGCAGCCCCACATCTGCCTTCGCTCCCGTAGCCTTCCACGCTCCTGCAGCTCCGCTGCAGGCTCTTGGTACAGCCCTCTGGCTGCTCCCCCAGCAGCTCCATCTCTGCTCCCTGTTCCTCCGTGCGTGGCGATCTCGCCACCTCCCAATGTCAGCCCTTCGTGGCCTCTGGCTATCTCGCCATTTCCTACCTCAATCCTCCACTCTCCCTTCCACCCCGCTGGCTGGCGCCGTCATGAGCCCCTCAGCCACCAGGCTGAGGCACGGCGACCACCCAACGTGTTCACCACCCTTCACTCCCCCGACTGACCCAGATAGCTTCCTGTCTCCCCGCTATAACTTCTCCCCCACGTCACCCTGACTCCTCCCTCTCGGATCGTCATATCCGCCCCGCCCATTTACGCCCGCATTACACTACCCTCCCCCGTAGAGAAAATCCCAGCCGTCCTCGGCTGAAACAGAACAAAATAATGCGGGCGAAGGCATCACAATCAGGAGTCCCCCAGACACAACGGAGATTATAACAACAACAACACAAGCAACGAAAGGGGAGGTATCAGGAACTGGAACAGAACACCGGCCTGTCCTCCGCGCAACAACAACAAGAATAAGAATGGCACAATGAACAACAACGGCAACTGACACGCAAGAACGGCCAACGCGCACAACCCAGAATGTGATGTTTTAGTGCGTGTCCATGTTGCAGTTCCATCCGCTCGGCTCAAGTCCAACGTCAAAGAGCAAGTGGTAGAGCAGAATGACGAACGGCGCTCAATTGCTCCTTCAAGTCCTCATCCAGCTAGCACACCAGGTAACACCCAGTGCGACGGGAGCTGAAGAATCTGTGACGAGAAGGAGAATCCAATCCCCTGAGGCACAGCACAACAACGCACATCCGCATGTCGTACACGACAGCCACCCGGCCTCAGGGTAGTGGAGATGATGTAAATCCCGCCCGCTTAAAAAAAACTCCCCATAAATACCCAAAATAACGCAATGGATGCCCCATTATTTACATTTTAACAACAATATTATTTACACGTCAACAACAACAACAAAATTTTCTGCTCTTACCCACCAGCAGTCCTCCCTTGAGGACCAGCACAGACATCGCACGTACACAGCATGTACCCACGGTCACTCTCAGCAACCCAACAAAACGCCTAATCGCACACCCTCGCGTGGAGAGAGCCACGCTCCCCAGCGGTAATGTTTAACTCGCCCTAACCCCCACCGTGGTCGTCAACCCACAGCAACATCCACTGACCATACTCTCAGCTAGTGCAATTTCGGGGATGAGCAGCAACTCGGCCACGCTCCTCCCTTACTATCCCATCAGAGATGGACACACACCAGCCTCGTATAGTCCGATGCTTTATAGCCCAGGGAAGGTTCATCCCCCAGCAATGCCAGACCCCCTGTACTCCCCCCACGGGGCAATGTTCTCTTATAGAGACAATAACACCCTAACCCAGATCCCGTGAGCCCCCGGCACACCAGGTTCAGTCTGCCACCGCACAACTGAACCATGACTCCCCGAGCCATATGAGCACATGGCCCATTAGTTTAAGACATACCACGGAGGTTTCGCCTCCGGGCTGTCAGGTCAGCCATCAGCCATAGCCCGATGTGACCACAACTCGTGCATCACCCAATCAACAATGGCAGGCATAACAGATGGAATATTTGCCCCACCCCGGTTTTTCCCGCGCGCTCAAAATGGCGTCCCCCTTCGCCCAGCGCGTTCGCGCAATATCTCGCGCGCACTCAAAATGGCGGCCCTTTCCGCAAAGCGCATCGTCGCCATACCCCGCGTGCGCGCAAAATGGCGGCCCAACGTGCGAACACGTGGCCAGTTTTCTCCATTCGTGCACCCCAGCTTCCCTTAGCTGGGGGTCACAAGACGCATCTCCCGTCACATTATAACAACCCCACCAACGATAGACGCACAGCCCCAGCTTGCTGCGCACAGCTGTCATATCGTGGAATTTTTAACCAATATTTTACCAACCACATTAGTTACACAACCCAACTCGCCAAGCAACTCGTGGCTGCATGCGATCAACCGAATACGCGACGCCACTTGGCGCCAATTTACGGTCCCATTAGCATTAACCTTTGAGACACCCACAACGGCGTCATCACGCACCCTCAAAGCGCGCTCTCTCTCTCAAAAAGCGCAATTACCCATAATATACACGAAATCTCGTGTGCACAACACCAATACAACAGAATTTTAGGGTCCCCCTCTATAATATACACGCAATCTCGTGTGCACAACACCAATACAACCGAATTTTAGGGTCCCCCTCTATAATATACACGCAATCTCGTGTGCACAACAACCATACAACCAATTATTTGGGTCCCCCTCGAATTTGTTACCAATTTCCAACAGGTACGCACAATATAATAACAATCCCAATTCCAATAATCAACCACTGCATCGCACCCCATAACCATACAGAACGGTATAACAGCACATGCAATCAGCATATCGCGATCACACGCGCACATTTAAGCACAATAGCAAGCAGATCTGCAGGCAACCAACACACCATTAATCCTGTCGTAACTTTGCAGCAACAACACAATTATTCTCTCTCTTGCAACAATCGCATCGCACACAGCACCTCGCAGCACAATACACCAAAAAAAATATTTTTTTTTTCCCAATTAAGCCCATCACACAAGGTAACCCACAAATAATACAGCGCAAGATACCCGACGCTCCCAAGTTAATAATTAACTTCACCATCAAGATAACAACTCCACGCAGCAGCGCACACACACAATTTGACACTCAGCAAATACAGCAGACTCTCCGTCCATTCTCAACACACGCACACACTTATATTGACACCAAGCAACAAGCAGATAGCGCGTTCATCATTATTACACACACATACACACAGTCCGAACCACGCTCCGCACAATCGAGTCATAAGAGAAACCCAAAATAGCCCCCCCCCGGCCCTCAAAAGATGAGTGAGGTGTGTGTTAAGGCCGGGTGCGTATCGTTATGACTCGCCCGGGGCTGCAGCAAGAAGAGGACGGCAGGGTGGCAACTTGAGACGCCTCGCAGAACTCGTTCGGCGACTTGACGGCTCCGTTGTCACGCACCCGAGCCAGGACGGGAAGCTCCCGCCCCAGCAGCTGCAGCATCGGCGTCTTCTCCTCGCAGCACCCCCTCGAAAACAGCAGCTGCAGCATCGGCGTCTTCTCCTCGCAGCACCCCCTCGAAAAACAGCAGCTCCCAGCAGGCTGCTCACCCCGCGGCACCTCCAGATGGCAGCGCAAGGCTGCCTCTCCGCCGCGATGTTGAAGATGGCAGCGTCCTCCCGCCGCGGTGAAGACAAGATGGCCGGCTTCCCGCCGTTTCTCCCCTGCCACGCCCAAGATGGCGTCTTCGTGCCACGTGGCAATGGCGCTGGCAGCGCAGGAAAGGCAGAGGCCTGCGGATCACCACCGGGCCTCCCCGACGCCGTCCTCGGCGTGGTGAACTCACACAGTTGCGCCAGCACGATTTTCAAGGTCTCCATCTGCATCACCATCTGTCTCCATCGTAAGTTGGCGTCCTCCGGCACAGACAGGTCCACCGACGCGGCGACACCTTGCTCACCCGGACCCGTACTCGTTCCAGAACGGATCACCTCTTCCATCGCAGGCAGGTCCACTGTCTGAGGAAGGTCGTCGTCGTCGGATGATGTAGCAGGAATATATATTTTTTTTTTTTTTTCTTTCTCTCAGGTGTTTTGAGATGCCGTTTCACTTCTGACTCCAGTGTAATAAAAGGACTCAGACACTTCTTGCTGACTCCGTGTCCTTTATTTGGGGTTCGCGTTCTCCTTCCCACACGGCACTCCTCCTGAGACTCTCACCCTGGCAGCCCCACATCTGCCTTCGCTCCCGTAGCCTTCCACGCTCCTGCAGCTCCGCTGCAGGCTCTTGGTACAGCCCTCTGGCTGCTCCCCCAGCAGCTCCATCTCTGCTCCCTGTTCCTCCGTGCGTGGCGATCTCGCCACCTCCCAATGTCAGCCCTTCGTGGCCTCTGGCTATCTCGCCATTTCCTACCTCAATCCTCCACTCTCCCTTCCACCCCGCTGGCTGGCGCCGTCATGAGCCCCTCAGCCACCAGGCTGAGGCACGGCGACCACCCAACGTGTTCACCACCCTTCACTCCCCCGACTGACCCAGATAGCTTCCTGTCTCCCCGCTATAACTTCTCCCCCACGTCACCCTGACTCCTCCCTCTCGGATCGTCATATCCGCCCCGCCCATTTACGCCCGCATTACAGTTGTATCAATAAAGGGATGTCTTTCACGTAAAGTTTTCAAAGCTGAAGCAGTAACTGAGAGACTTTACACAGCAGACAAGCACACTTGATGGTCAGGTAACAAGTAAACACACTGCCAATGCAGAGGCTGGTCTATGAATTTGTTTTCTTCTGATTAATGATTGCAAACGCCTTGTAGTTGCAGAATGTGGCAGCCAGGGTCACTCACTTGTACCCCAATGTGAAGATGCATCTTTCCTATTCTTTAACTAATATGATGACTTCCTGTCCCTAAACGAGTAAAATATAGGATAATCTTTTTCTTGTTTAAGGCCTCACGACGGCTGGCTCCATTTTATATCAAGCTAGTTCAAGCTTATGCCCCTTAAAAGACATTAAGAAACGCACCTAAGAAGTGCACATTATCATTATTATTGTAATTTAAAGCTTTCGTGACTGCAGGGATTCATCTTCTTGGCTCTTTCGGTAAAGTCACGTAGAATGGAAGTAATACAATAATAAAACATAATAAATAATTTTATTATGTTTTATTTTTATTATTTTATTACTTCCCTTCTACGTGACTTTACCGAAAGAGCCAAGAAGATTATTATTGTACTTGCTAATGACAGTCTGCACCAGACAGCGTAATAACGTGATTAGGTTACAGGACCTTATCTTGCACGGCACCAAATCCTGGAATGGCCTCATCACAAATCTTAACACTGTGTCCACATTAACCTTCTGTAGCCGCGCGTGTTCAACTTAGTGCAGCAGACTCACCTCTACCATTGTTCCTATGAATGCCATAACCAAGCTCCGTTATGGCTGAGGCTGTACACACGGCTTGTCGACACACGTATTGCCGACACACGTCTGTAATATTATTTGTTGATACTTGTTGATATGTGTGTAGGCACCGTTTCTTGTTGATCCTGTCTGAAGCGAGGGACTGGGTTTCTGGCTTGGGTTTCGTGTAAATAATGTTTTTGCTCCGGTTTGTTTGCACGTTCCCTCCACCCTGCAATGTCCTGTAACTGTTGCCATTGAATACTGTTTTGGGCTGGGGTCCACGAGTCTCTGTGTAACTCTATGGACATTTGTATAACTCTGTGTAACTGCAATTTTCTGTAACTGTCGACGCTCTTGGGCTGCGGTAGTCCTTGGAACAAAATTGCTCCGCCCAATGGAGCCTTGTCAGCTGAAATGACTCTTGAGTCTGAGGTGGCTCAGCAGTGGAGCACGGGGAAGTCAACAGTGGTTGTCCTATGGGTAGACTCGCCTCTGCCATAGGAATGTGGAATGTCCCAACTGGCTCTCGGCTGTCAATATAAGATGAGCACTCCCTCATAGAGCCACTGCCCACATAGTTGCCAAGATTATAGTGGTATCATCATACATGGCAGCAGCATCAGCAGCATTATAAGCAGCAAGTAACATCAGGAGCTGAAAGCACTATCAATCATCATGGGCGTAATATATAATTAGCATCACAATCAGGATGCGGCAAGGTCTGCTGGAATAAAAAGTTTAATAGTTTAGTTTATTTATGGGTGGTGACCAAGCTAAGCGTTACAGCGTTCCGCAAATGTTGCAAAGGTTTGCAGTACGAATCTGGTATGCCGCCCTGGTTATTACTACGGGTGTCTTAACGATTGCAATATAGGCACGGGTTGCTGCACAGTGGACAATACAGATCCCCTGACATCATTCGAAACATCGGCGTTAACGGTCCAAATTCGCCAAATTACAAAATGTACTCAAGTAGATTACTGTATTATAAGTAGCAGTAGAATTCTCAAAATCATCATGGGCAGCAACACTGTCATTAAGTCATCATAGGCAGCTGCGGCGACAGCAGTGTCCGCTGTGAAAGCGATGCAAGCCTGTGAGCCAGCGCTTCGGAGACAGGTTTTGTTCTGCGAGCTGTGAAGCTATCAGGAGATTTTAGGACAACGTGGAGCTTCGCGTGTGGTCTCTCCTCACGTATAGCCTCGGGTTTACCAGCCAGTAATGCTCACACAAGGTCGCACTCATTATGCACAAAGTGTATGCCAGAATGAACCACAATACCTCGCTGCCGATCTCGGCAAGGTGCATAAAACATCACGCGAGTTCCGGTCATCCTCGCAGCAGCTTCTGGCTAAGCCATCGCACGCTTTCAGATGACTTATGTGGTAGTCTGGAATGCTCCTCCGATATTAGGAAGCCACTTCAGCTATGTACTTTTAAATCTCTACGGAAAACTAATTTCTTGAGAACTGCGTTTTCGTGTTTAGTTTGTTGTCCTTCCCCCGCACCTCCGATTGGCAGTGTGGCTACGTATGGTGCGAAAGAAGTTCAATATACCCTACGCGCCGCACGCTTCCCAGTGGTCAATTAAGCGCCCTACAATAAATCGTGACACATTTGGTGTATGACGATCAACACGCTTAGACCTTTGCCATCCGGAGGTCGCCGGTTCGCTTAAATCTCGCGGCGCGGCCGTGGTGGAACACTGGCGGTGGTGCTGGTTGAAGCCCGCCCGCCCGCCCGCCCCCAGCAGCAGCCGTGCGGGTCGGGGCAGCGTCTTCTGACAAGCGTCGGGACGCGGTACCGCCTGGAGGGGCTCTTGGGCCGGGGCTAAACCCCCACGCGCCTTATTTCTCGCGTCGCCTACGGCTTATGTAAGTATACTGTACGCAACGTGTTATTTATTATCGCGTATACAGGGCGCGGTTTTTTTAAGTGTCATCCGGATCGGGTTCGGATACCGTGCCGATTAACTTTCCCGTCATCACCGTCAACAGCCACGCTCTATCTACTGCTGGTTGAAGGCTTCTCTCGCATTGAAACAAGTCGCAAAAAATAAAACCCACGCCCGGCTCCGAGAGGCTTGACCGCATTAGCCGACAAGCCGACAGAGAGAGCAAGACATCCCCCCTAACCCGCCATGACCCCACGTCGTGACCTCCTTTACTCACGGCGACCTTCTCCAGCTGCTGCTGCTCGCCTCGCCCTGCAGAAGCCGCTCGCTGCGTTAATGACGGCAGGAGGGGGGAGGAGCGCGACCCCCACGTGGACCTTCACCGGCACGAGTCGCGGGATCCCCCCCCCCTCTCCAGGGAGTGAGGGGCGGGGCTCTCCCCCCCCCTCTCCAGGGAGTGAGGGGCGGGGCTCTCCCTCCTCCTCTCCAGGGAGTGAGGGGCGGGGCTCTCCCTCCTCCTGACCCCTCCCCCGACTCGTTTCCGGGGCAGCGCGGTGACGTCGTCGGTGACGTAGCCGGAAGCGGCGAGAGACGAAATCGCGCGGGAAAGAAAGATGGCCTCGCGAGAGGAGACGGAGCTGCGCGGCGCGTTCAGCGCGGAGATCGTCCGGGTGCGCCGCTCCACCCCCCCTCTCCCTTCTGCTCTCACCTCCCTCTGCTCTCCCCTCCCTCTGCTCTCCCCTCCCTCTCCACTGCTCTCGCATCTCTCTAAAATCGCCTCTCTCTCCACTGCGCTCTCATCTCTACACTCCCCTCCCTCCCAACTCACTCCACTCGGTCCTCTCTACCCTCTTTTCACAACTCTACTCCCATCACTAATTGCTAATTCTCTCCCCAACTATCCACTCCCTTTGTAAGATATTGGGAGGCGTCAGTGCTGCATAAAATAGCAGTCGTTAACGCATTTTAATACAAACCCTTTCGCACTGCCCGGTCAAATCCATGCACACGTCGCTCTCATCCGAAGCGCTCGTACTCCTTGTCGATAGATAACTTCACGGGCACGGCTAATTCACTGGCTGCTCCTATGTTATTATTATTATTGACCATCCCTTCTAGCCCTCACGCGCTATAATACGATTAAGGAGGAACATATAGATTTGAAGCTTTCGTGACTGCAGGAATCCATACTCGTTGGTTCTTTCGGTAAAGTCACGAAGGTATAAAATAAAATAAATCACGACGTTTCGGGCGCAACACAAGTGTGTTGCGCATGGTCTGCTGCTGAGGCAGACTGCCTCAGCAGCAGACCATGCTTTCCCACCTGATGATGGACGCTTGTGTTGCGCCCGAAACGTGATTTATTAAATTTTATACCTACATGACTTTACAGAAAGAACCAAAGAATAATGAACATATTATTTGGCTCTTTCGATAAAATCACGTGAATAGAAAAAAAAATAAGGAAAATTAAAAAAAGCACACTAACTAGTCTATATAAAGTGCATCGACTGCCTTGTTCTTAATCGGAGTAAGTGTACTGGCAATATATAATGTAGACTGTAGACTGGTTATTAAGTTTGGTGAGTGTACTGGTAGTCTATAATGTAGACTGTATCAATGGTTATTAAGCTGGGTGAGTACTGGCAATCTATAATGTAGACTAGCCTGGTTTTTAACCTGGTTCTCCTGACTGGTTATTCAAAAACACGTCTATTATGATCTTAAAAGACAATGAAAACTCGGTGAACTAGTCTATATAAAGTGCGTCGACTGAACATCTGCTGTAACAGTAGACCGATGTACAGACCAATGTTACTACTGAAGTTCGGGCGGCAGCAGCACAAACAGCACCACGGCAGCTAAAATCTTGAGCCAGCGGCAGTCTGCAGTGAGGCCATATTGAAGGATGTGTAATCCATGGGGCAAGCTGCCAGACTGTCAGACTCGCTGCTGAGCTGAGTGATAGCTAGCATACTCTTAGGTTTTTTCGGTAAAGTCACGTAGGTAAAAATAAAATTAATAAAAGTAATAATAAAAATAATAAATCACGACGTTTCGAAGGCAACGCAAGTCTCCGTCATCAGGTGGGACTGTCACAGCTAGATTTACTGTATCAAGTGAGGCAAAAATTTTCAAGATACAAGTTCTTAAATACAAGTTAAGGGAGGAGGAGGGGGGGGGGAGGGGCTTATCTGAATGTGGGAGCCAATGAATGGAACGTATTGGGGGGGGGGGGGTGGGGCTAAAAGAGAACAAATGCACATGCTAAAGGTGCACATGCTAAAGGTGCACATGCTAGAAGAAAATGACAAAGCACATGTTGTTTTACCCAGTGTTGGTTGACAATCCAAATACATAAAAGGAGAGTACTGTTAAACGCTGGGGATGTTAACACTCGGTAAAGTAGAATAGAAATCTGCGAGCAAATGAGCACAATCAATAAAATGTAATCAAAGCAAATCTTATTTGACAGGTACTATTCTACTTTACCGAGTGTTAACATCCCCAACGTTTAACAGTACTCTCCTTTATGTATTTGGATTATCAACCAATACTGGGTAAAACAACATGTGCTTTGTCGTTCTCTTCTAGCATGTGCACCTTTAGCATGTGCACCTTTAGCATGTGCACCTTTAGCATATGCACCTTTAGCATATGCACCTTAAGCATGTGCATTTGATCTCTTTTAGCCCCGCCCCCCCCCAATACGTTCCATTCATTGGCTACCACATTCAGATAAGCCCCTCCTCCCCCCTTAACTTGTATTTAAGAGCTTGTATCTTGAAATGTTTTGCCTCACTTGATACAGTAAATCTAGCTGTGACGGTCCCACCTGATGACGGAGACTTGTGTTGCCTCCGAAACATCGTAGTTTATTATTTTATTTTTATTATTACTTTTATGAATTTTTATTTTATTATTTTTTACCTACGTGACCTTACCGAAAAAAACCTAAGAGTATGAATCCTTGCAGTCACGAAAGCTTCAAATCTAGAATTGATAGCTAGCAGTCAGCGGTACGGTGGCATACAAGTGACACATCTCCCACAGTCCTACTTCTCCCAGTAGGACTTGTCTGACCGTTGAAGAAACTGAACTGTGGCTCATTTGAAGGCCAATATAGACAAATTTTTATTGAGGCTTCATCCCCCCCCCCCCCCCGTTTCCTATACGTACGTACATTGTCAGTAGGCCCCCCATAAACAAGCGTGCGCATTTGGGTTTGTTTTCCCTTCCATGTGTACGTACTAACTGGATGGCCCCTTAAAACCCTCCGCTAATGGAGCTATATTGATTCTATATATCAAAAAGTGTTATGCCTTTAAAAATTGTTTTTACTGTGTCCGATTTCATCATTGTAGCGTGTGAGTGGTCGCTTTTGTTTCCAATTCTGCGAGCAAATGAGCACAATCAATAAAATGTAATTGAAGCAAAGATTTTTTCCTAGATCGAGCTGGGTACATCACGTGCAAGTGGCACGCCCCCTCAATCCCCTTTTTTTGATTGGTTTAGCGCCACTTTTATTTCAGTCCGCTTTTATCGAATTACACCGCCCCTACCAAAGCCCACTTAATAGTTTGGGTGGTTCTAGACTTGAAGCTTTCGTGACTGCAAGGATTCATATTCTTAGGTTTTTTCGGTAAAGTCACGTAGGTAAAACATCAAAATTAAGAAGTTTTAGTTTGGGTGGTGTAAGAACCTATTATTATTATTTGTATCCATGTTATTTTAAACAAGCATCTCTTAATTGTGTTATCATCATAGCCTATCAACTCCTGTGTGAAGATCATTGTATCTTAATCTGCGTATGTCCACAAATCCATGTGTACTATGCCTCGATGCAATTCCAAACATGCATCACTCCACGCTTCTATGCACACTTCGTTTTTGTTTAAACTCGAATTTTTTTTATCATTGACCGATGTTGCCTGTACTGTACATGTCATGTGACGATACTTCGTAATGGACGTGTTTCATTGAAGGAACTGGAGAAAGCTGTCGTGTTGGTGACCCAACTCCGAAAGAATATGTCTACTTTGGATACATCTGCAGATGAAATTCAGACACTTTCACAGGTAGTGAATTAATTTCAACTGTGGGCTTACTGCTGCCCGTTATGGCTGTTAAACAATAACTAGTAAACCAGTAACCATTCTCAAAATTGGGTTACCAGTTCTGAAAGTCGGTTACCAGTTCCGACAAGTCAGCAATCAGCAATATAAACCAGCAATAAATGCGTCGTTTAGGGCGTGCAAAAGGCACGGTGGCCTAAAGTCACCGGGTGGTAAAATCTGCTCTCGTTTCTCACTTTAAATGTTACAGGCGTAACCCTACAATTGGGACACTCGCACCACTGCTGGTGGAAGGACCTCCACTAGAGGGAACTCTCGAGGGTATTTGGTCGACTCTTTCCCGCTGACCAGACGGATTGGAAGAAATGGTCACATTCACACTTTACCCCACTGTACGTGGCCTTGCTGATCGACTAAGTGTGGTGCACTCATGTTTACTATTGGGTAGATAGAGGCACGATTCAGGAAACGTGCACTTTTGTTTCAACTTCCGCATAAAGTAGATGGAATCGAACCAGCGACTTCTGCATTGCAAGTCGAGTGTGCTATCCCCCCCTAGCATCTCCCTTGGTTTCTCAGTTATGGTAACACTATGTAACACATTTTTGTTCCTGGGTAGTAAGTGTTATTTTGTAATTGCTTATGCCTATAAAGTATAGAAAATGGCTATTATTCCCCACAAACTTTGCATTTGTGACCAGGACAGTGATATTTTGAAATTTACCTATTTTCAATGAGAAAACGGGCAAATTTGTGCGATTTCGTTCACATAAAGTCAGAAAAAATTATTAATAAAAATTAATATGTATTTATACGAACATAATACAAAAATGACTAAAAAAGGTTTAGATGCGAGTAGTTTTTCGAGATTTATGATTATACTGTAAATCTATTTCACGAATCAGCCCCCAAATGTAGTCTCCCATCATGTTCTCATACTGTAGCGGCGTTCAAGGTCCAGTATATCCTGGTGGAAGCGCTCGCTTTGCTTCTCCGAGTACGCTCCCATGTTCTTGAATTTATCAAGATGAGCATCAAGGATATGGACTTCGAGGGACATCCTACAGCCCATTGTGCCGTAGTTCTTCACCGGTGTCTCAACCAGCTCCACATAGTTTTGGACCTTGTGATTGCCCAGGAAGCCGCGAACCACTGCCACAAAGCTGTTCCAAGCCGCTTTTTCCTTACTAGTGAGCTTCTTGGGGAATTAATTGCACTCCAGGATCTCCTTTATCTGTGGTCCGACGAAGACACCGGCTTTGACCTTTGCCTCAGACAGCTTAGGGAAGAAGTCTTGAAGGTACTTGAAGGCTGCCGACTTCTTATCTACAGCTCTGACAAATTGTTTCATAAGGCCCAATTTGATGTGCAGTGGTGGCATCAGCACCTTCCAGGGGTCCATCAGTGGCTCCCACTTGATGTTGTTCCTCCCTAAAGAGAACTCGGTCTGCTGTGACCAGTCCCACCTGTGGTAATGCACCTTGGTGTCCCTGCTGTCCCAAAGGCAAAGATAGCAGGGAAACTAGGTAAACCGCCTTGGAGACCCATCAGTAATGCCACAATTTTGAAGTCTCCGATCTCCCAGCCATACTCATCATACTTTAAGGTGTCCAGCAAGGTCTTGATGCTGTTGTAATCCTCTTGAGGTGCACCGAGTGAGCCAGGGGAAGAGACGGGTACTTGTTACCATCATGGAACAGCACGGCTTTGATGCTCCTGGATGAGCTGTCAATGATTACAGCAGTGCATAGTGTCTGACCAGCTAGTTGTGCTTCAGGCTTGTTTAATCTGGGCCGGCCCTCTAGCTGCTACCGTAGGCGCATACCAGGCTCAACATCCTTGGTGAGTCGGTACAATCAGCAGCTGCCAACGCCGAACCCCGGGCGGTGGTTAACTAACCCTGAAAACTCAGCTTGTCTGAGCCTGAGCATGTGGAACACCTGGTGGAGGAAATTCCACCAAAAGGGTCTTTGGACCTTCCACTGCAACCAGGACCATCTCCAGTCGTCTTGACTACATCTTGCCACTGGGTACAGATGGGGCTGGTCGAGAGAGTGAGGTTGATGCTGCGCAAATCACCCTCACTTAAATCCAAGTTCTCCGCGCAAGTCATGGCACTTTTTACCATCGTCATTATCCAAGTCCGGTGGCGATGGGTGAGCGACGAAGCAGCAGGCACGGATATGCTGGAAGCTGTAGCCGCAAACCTGCATGCAGGCGGCTCAGGATATTGGTCGTTCCCTCACTGGACTGAAGCAGCAGTGAAGTCCGGCAGCACCCTGAGTCACTGAGCAGCCCTAATCAGGATCACACTGCTCACCTCCATAGTGAGGAAAGGGTTAGAAAAGGTACCCTAAACATTGCCTGCTTCAAAACATCTTGGCCTTCCTACCGCAGCTGGCGGGATCCCATACTTGCGGTCGAAAAATAAATAAAATGAAAAAGACCAAAGTGATACCACTCACTGTTGGCGCCTGGAATGCGCGGACTTTGATGGACACGTCTGGATCAAAAAGACCTGAGAGACGCACCACCCTTGTGGGCAGAGAGCTAGGCAGATATAATATGGATGTTGCTGCCCTTAGTGAGACCCGACTGGCCAATACTGGACAGGTGACTGAAGTGGGTGCAGGTTACACATTCTTCTGGAGCGGATGAGGCCAGGAGGAGAAACGTGATGCTGGTGTTGGTTTTGCAGTAAAAAACCACCTGGTCAACCAACTGGCAAGCCAACCCAAGGGTATAAACGACCGTTAAATTACCTTAAAACTCCACCAATTGGGTAAAAAGGAGGCCACCGTCATCAGTGCCTATGCCCCTACCATGATCGTGAGGAGATCAAAACCAAGTTTTATAATGACCTGGAAGTCATTATTGCTGCCACAGCCAGCTCTGACAAATTCCTGATAATTGGCGAATTCAATGCCAGAGTTGGAAGTGACCATCGATCATGGAATGGAGTAATAGGTGCACATGGCATTGGAAAATGTAACAGCAACGGTCTTTTGCTGCTGAAAACATGCTCTGAATTTGACCTGCTCATCACCAACACGATATTCCAACTACCAAAGCGCAATACAACTTAATGGATGCATCCTCGTTCACACCACTGGCACTTGATTGACTACGTCATCATGAGAAGGAGCGACCGGCACGATGTCAGTGTGACTGACCATCATTTCATCTCATCATCTCAAAACTTAACATCCGGATTAAGCCTTCCAGACGCCCACAAGGAAAAAGACGTGTCAAGCATCTTCACATCACTCCCCTACAACAGGAACACACCAGACTGGCCTTTTTTGAGGCTCTAGACCATCACCTGGAGTCTCTAAGCTTCGAACATACAGATGCTGAGGCAGACTGGACTGCTCTCAAGACCGTGTTGCATTATACAGCCCTTGAATTACATTGGTGTTCCCATACATACACATCAAGATTGGTTTGATGAGAACGATGCAGAAGTCTGAGCACTCCTTGACGAAAAACATCGCCTGTATGAGCATATTTGAATGACAGCAGCTCAAGCTTAAAGAAAACTGCCTTCCTCAACATTCGCAGGGTTGTCCAGTGGAGACTCAGAGTCATGCAAGACACCTGGCTGTGTGCAAAAGCTGAGGAGATTCAGTCCTACGCTGACAGTAACAACACCAAGTGCCTCTATAATGCACTCAAGCAGGTCTATGGTCTGCAACACTCAGCAACTTCACCTCTCCTGTATGCAGATGGAACAACACTCCTCACAGAGAAGGACAAAATACTTGCGAGGTGGGCTGAACACTTCAGTGCAGTCCTCAACCAACCATCATGCATAAATGAGGAGGCAATTGCGAGACTGCCTCAAGTTGAAATAAACCAGTCCCTTGTTCTACCATCAATTGAGGAAACCAGCAAAGCCATAAGCCTCCTCTCATCAGGCAAAGCTCCAGGGTCCGATGCTATTCCAGCAGGAATCTACAAGGCTGGAGGGCTTCGCTTAGTCTTGAAACTGACCGACCTTTTCCAGTCTCTGTGGACATTAGAAGCCGTTCCCCAGGAGTTCAAGGATGCCTCTATAATCCATCTCTATAAGAGGAAAGGCAATCGACAGGCCTGCGACAACCATAGAGGCATCTCCATACTATCAATCGCTGGCAAAATCTTGGCAAGAATCCTTCTGAACTGCCTGCTATAACTACAGCAATGCATAGTGACTTTGGTGGTGCATGCTTTGACAACAGAAGTGCATACTAAATGTGGTGGTACCTGCTATGATTACAGCAGTGCATATTGTGGTGGGACCTGCTATGATTACAGCAGTGCATAATGACTGGTGGTACCTGGTATGATTACAGCAGTGCATACTGACTGCGGGGGTTCCTGGTATGATTAGAGCAGTGCATACTGACTGTGGTGGCACTTGCTTTCACTACAGCAGTGCATACTGACTGCAGTGGTACCTGCTATGATTACAGCAGTGCATACCGACTGTGGTGGTGCCTGCTATAACTACAGAAATGCATTCTGAAGTTGGTGGTACCTGCTTTCACTACAGCAGTGCATCCTGTGGTGTAACCTGCTATGATTACAGCAGTGCATACTGACTGGTGGTACATGCTATCACAACAGTAGTACATGCTGACTCTATAGCAGTATATATCGACTTATAGCACAAACCATGAACCTGACAAAGTGGAGTGGTGAGGCCTAGTCCCATGCAGAGCCCCCGGCCTTGCCTCGATTGCCCAGCCTGCAGGCTGGGGGCTGGCCGCTACCCCCCCCCCACCATCCCCCCGGCCGCGCATGGTCCCTCCCCCCCACCAAAATGCGTGAGTTGGTGTGGTCGAGCGCGCGTATAAAATAAATAACAAAAAACGCACAGAATCGCTAATTAAACTAATTTAAAGGTGACGGACGTGAAAAAGGAATAGCGCTTGCCAACCGTGGGGCTTTCGGCGTGGTACGTGGCAAATACATTTTTACGTAAAACCCCACCATTTGAGAGCCAAATCCCTCGCAAGCGCGTGAACACACATACAGACGGACAGACAAAAAATGACATTTATACATGATATTTTTTCAATGACATTGAAAATGGTCAAACTTTTTAATTTAAAACTTTTACAATTTAAAAAATTGTAACAAATTTATAACATAAAATTCCAAGAAACAATTGTCCATCTTATCTTCCAGAGTTTTTTCTGCATTGCTCGCAGGTGAAATGAGGTGCCCAGGGTTTGTTTTGATCCCTGGCAGGCTTGCCGAAATATGCCTTGTAGGCCTCGCACATCTTAGCAGATGCTTCAACAGAGTACTTTTTTGTTCTTGTCTTGATAAATTGGCCGCAGACAGCAAAATGTGTCTGCTGGATGCATGCAGCCTCTTGATGCCATCTCAGAAAAATGCAGATATGTATCCACTTATACAGCTGGAACTAAACTGAACTGGTGGGCTTAAGGCCCCTGTATTTATACTACTATTTATATTACTGGAAAGTTCTACAAGTTACTCCAAGTTTACTCAGCACTGAATCTATCTGGAATTTTCTGGAAAAAATGTAAATTTCAAAAAATCACTGTCCTGGTCATAAAAGCAAAGATTGTGGAGAATAATAGCCATTTTCTGTACTTTGAGGCACAAGCAATTAGGAAATAACACTTGCTACCCAGGAACCAAACAAAACAAAAAATGTGTTACACTGTTATTGCTGTAAACATTTATATTTGTATCAAAACGGTAACTTGTTTTAACCAGTTGCATTGGTGTGATTCACGATTTTGCAAAATAACTGAATTTAAAAACTTCATTGGCGATTATGTTTCTTGTTGCATTTTTTCTGCAATATTTAAATTTTACATGTCTTGTCACGTTGAGGTGAAGACATTTCCATTCATAACTGTGACGACCTGCAATGCACAGTTGCCAATTATGGGAAATTGCATAATCGGTAACTATTAAAAATGATAAGAAAAAAATTGTTACCTCGTTGCTACATGGAACATTTTCTTCAGCAAAAACACATTTTTATCTTTTTAAGTGAGAAATTAAGGGACTTTGCCATAGTGTCATGGGTTGCGCACTAGACTTGCAATCCAGAGGTCACCGGTTCCATTCCATCTCAAGGTGCGGCATTTGAAACAACGAAGCAAGTTTCCTTAATCCTCGTGCCCCTGTCCGTCCAGGAGTATACATAGGTGCACCACAGTCGCTCAGCAGGTCATGTGTGGTGGGGTAAAGTGTGGGCATGTCCACCTTTTCTAAGATACCTTTTAGGGCTGCCTCTAATGGAGGTGAGCAATTGCAAGATTGCACTTGTACGTGTTAACTGCTCAGAAACAGGGGAAATTGCACCACGTGGTGACTGGGGCTGCTATGCGGGCTGTACGTTCGCGTATACAAATTAGTACATTCATTACTAACATTTCATTTGAATCCACGACTAGTTCCTGACTTCCAGGATCGGTAATTTAGTCTGAAAAACGATTACTGATTTACCAGTTATTTAACAACCCTAGTAAAAACATATCTATATGATTCAATACAGATTTGGAGAGCTCCAAAAAACTGGTGAATTGTGGGGTATATGATCCACAATATGGTCCGCTGGTATCAATGTGGTTTTGTTTTTAGTTCTGCTGTACTGTAATTGTTTTACATGTTTTTTCGGATTGTTTCTCACATTCTAATTCTTGCTTTTCAGAAATGGAAAATCTTTCAAGTATATCTGGATAACATCAATGAACTTTCCGCTGCATTGTCAACACTGCAATGAACTGTTTCCTTAACCTCAACATTTTGTATGTATTAACTTACATATGTATAGTTATTAATAAAGACTAGAATGTGATGGCCATTTTGTGCTCTATTTGATATTAAGACTAATTGTTCCAAATATTTGAGTGGTACGTTTCCATGCCCCTGTGAATTCAGCTCTGCATATGGGAATGTGCCTATGCATTTCATGATAGTAATGTAAATGCAATTTAAGTTACTCGGTGTTACAACCACGGCTAGTGATCTCTTGCTAGACTTAAGCATCCAATGCTTATACACTAAAATAAAACAATTCTAGATTTGAAGCTTTCGTGACTGCAATGATTATTATTCTTAGGTTTTTTTCGGTAAAGTCACGTAGGTAAAAACATTAAAAAGTAAAATAAATAAAAATAAAAATCACGACGTTTCGGAGGCAACACAAGCTTCCGTCTTAAGGTGGTACCGTCACAGCCACGACAGCTGTATCAAGTAAATGAGAGATTGCAAGAGTTACCACTGCGTTTATATAATGGTTGGAGAAGGTGGTGGGGCAAGGGCCGCATACTTATTATTATTCCTTGGGACATTCTGTCTACAGGAAAGCCACCCACACAGATTCCTACTTGAAACCGGATTCCCACCACCACCCATCTCAAAAGAATTCTCTCATCAAAACGCTATACCACAGAGCCCATAGCATTGCTGACCAACACCACCTGGCCGGTGAATTAAGACATGTATATCGGGCCCTCAGGATGAACGGATACTCTGACCGCACTATCCGCCAAGCTGTCTCTCCCACCATACAGAAACAGCCACATGAAACTCCGACCAAAACTATCACGTTACCATATATAGCAGGCGTGACCAAAAAGATCTCCAAAATTCTAAACAAACATAAGATCCAAGTCTGATTCAGTACAGTGCATAAAATCCGTGATTTGATTCCATCTGTGAAGGATGTCGTTCCTGACTTACAGTATCCTGGAGTCTACAAATTGAGTTGCATTTGTGGTGATTGCTACATTGGAGAAACGAAACGTCATGTTTCTGATCGTGTCCGCGAGCACAAGTCAGATCTGAAACACGGCAGAACTGATTCTTCGGCCGTTGCCGATCATTGCTACAACTCGGTGGGCTCTCATGAAACTGTATTTTCCGAGACCAAGGTTCTCTGCAAACCTCCTGGCTACCATCAAAGGTTTGTACACGAAGCCATACAAATATACAAACACAGACATAATTTCAATCGTGATGACGGTTACAAACTGAGTAATCATTGGAAAGATGTGATTAACCATGCAAAAAAGATTTAACTACACTTATTTGACAGACAACCATTACTGTTTTACCATGTTTAGTGGTGGTCTCCCTGTTACAGGTTGAGTCACAAACCGCACCTCTCCATAACAAAGGCTCAGCCTTTGTTAGGCAGTCTATTCTTAGTCTCAAGCCTCACCTTACCATATTAATAAGTATGCGGCCCTTGCCCCACCACCTTCTCCAACCATTATATAAACGCAGTGGTAACTCCTGCAATCTCATTTACTTGATACAGCTGTCGTGGCTGTGACGGTACCACCTGAAGACAAGCTTGTGTTGCCTCCGAAACGTCGTGATTTTTATTTTTTTATTTTATTTTACTTTTTAATGGTTTTACCTACGTGACTTTACCGAAAAAACCTAAGAATATAAAATAAAACACTAATAAAATAAGGTGCTGTCGAGTGACTCGGACTCCTCCAAACGCAGGATGAATGTTGCTTTGGCACTGCTCTCATCCACCACAGAATCAGCAGGGGGCCGCTATGGTGTACCCAGATAATGTGGACTCTGCTTGTCCCAGTTGCCAAGTCCTACGATTTTTGCCTTCCGTTATGCTGGAAGCTTCATTCACCCATGGCCGTCACCCCCCACCCATCTCGCCTCGCGTGTCTGCTGGTGGACACACGGGGTGACAGCAGAGTATGTGTCCCCAGGCCGGTGGGACAGCACGACACAGAGCTGTGCTGCACCATCCATGGTGAAAAGCCGGCTTGGACGCGACCAGCAAATCGTCATCATCGTCACAGTATCTCGTCCACAGATACTTGTGAGATGCCCGAGCATGGTCTTCACCTCCACGGCACTCCTATCACAGCGGCTTCATCTACATGATAGTGTGCCACTTCCGCTGGCATGCCAGTCACCAATTTGCTGCCTGGTTGAAGCCAATCTGAAGAGTGAATAGAGGACAGCTAGATGCCCTGTGCAATGGACTTGAAAGTCCAATTAAACTCTATAAATATGTTGTGTTTTCTTGATCAATGCTGCCACACACAGGTGTGGGATTTGCACAGCAGCTGCAACCTGTTGCCCATCTCCTGGCCGACTTGCACCAAGAACCTGAAATTTTGCCAGCTATCATAGGTGATTGCTGACACCACTTGCCCCTGCAGGCTTCTAATGCTATAAGGTGGATATTTGGTATGTGGTGCAGGGGTTACTGCACTATGCTTAAAATCCAGCGACTGGAATTCGATTCCCGCTAAATCAGCATCGATGATGAAAAAAAAATTTGAGTCGACTGCCTAAAATGAGTACCTGTGGAGACGACGGTGGTTGGGAGTGGAGATGGTCACCTACTTCATGTGCCGTGCCGGCCTCAATAGATGCTCACTAACAGCACTTGCTACAACATTCTGTTGAAGTCCATATATAGTCCTTGACTTACGAACATCCGCACTTGTGAACCCGCTTCCATGATATTTATGTAGGACTCGTACTCTCGTTTTTCTCGTCTTGTTTATTCACGCGTAGAGTTCACACCTCATCATCGCTCCGTGTCTCTCCATTCGCTCCGATGCACAACCCGCCATTAACAACACTCCATGTCTCCCCGTTTCTACCGTACACTGTATTCTCTCTATCCACTACTACCGTACACTGTGTTCTCTCTATCCACTGCTACCGTACACTGTGTTCTCTCTATCCACTGCTAACCGTACACTGTGTTCTCTCTATCCACTGCTACCGTACACTGTTCTCTCTATCCACTCTACCGTACACTGTGTTCTCTCTATCCTTATCGTATCTATCCCTGCTCACTGCTGCTCCGTCTCTGTCCCGGGCACCAACCACTCCAGCTCCAATCCCAACCAAGACTCCTGTCTCTCCGTTACGCTGTGCCCTTTATCCCCGCACCAATCAGTCCCAATCAATTATCTCATCCCCCGCTTTGCTACTCGCCCCCAGGCCCCCAGCCTCACGTGACCATGTTATTGCCGCCAGGCCGGCGCCGGTCATTAACCACTCACCCTCCTGACCAATCACTGGCCTGCGTCCTCAGTCACCCCTAACACCTGTCGCGTCTCTTAACGTCCTCCCCCTTAATGCCACGACAACAACAACCGTGTCCTCAGATGCTCCCACTGTACTCTGCTCGCTTACCTAGCAACAATGCGTGGCGCGTGATATTTCAAGTCCTACATCACCCCCCCCCCCCCCCCCCCCCCCGTTTAAAAAGTTAGCCGTCCCGGCTAAACAACGCATCACGCGGAAACAACATTCAAGGAAACCACAATATACAACAATGTACACAATCCCCAACTCCCAAAGTTTTAAGAAAAAGTAAATCGTCTTGAGCGGGTTCCCGCAGCCGGTCCGTCGCCCCGGCTCGACTGAACAGGGGGCAGGGCATCTCTGTCCGTGGTTGCGGGGCAGCGTCCTGCCCGAAACGTGCGCCTATCGTCGCTACACCGGCCATTCTCCGATGAGATCCCAACGTGGTCTCGTGTGTCCCGGGGTGTCCCCTGACTCAAAAATGGCGATCCTGCAGACACATGAGGGGTAGACTGCTGAGGTGCGTTCTTCCGTCGCCGCACAGTACGCTCGTCGGACACATCCAATACAGGCCGTTCCGGGATGGGAGATGACGCATCATAAGGCACCACATATCTCTTCAAGCGCGACAGGTGAATGTGACATAATCGGCAACCGTATCGAATCCTCACACTCTGATCCTGACGAACTTTCACAATCTCAACGGGCCCCTGCCAGGGCCGGACAATGTAACCAGGTCTTGTCCCCCACCTGCCATGGTTCACGTGGAGGCTGTGTACCGTGCAGGCGCTCATTAGCCGCCTGCCTTCGTTCCGTATTTCCCAGCGAGGCCTCCCTGGCCTCTTTCAACCGATCCAATGCCTCACACATGGGGACAGGCACCGTTGGCGACTTTCCTTTAGATTTCACCCCCAGCCTAACCAAGGCCGGGGCTTCTGGTTCACGACCATACATCAAATAGAAGGGTGAATACCCTGTTGAAGCGTGTGGGGCTAATGCCGGGACATGGAGATCCCAGTCTGTCTGAGTCGAATTAACCTGTTGGCACAACATAGACGTCAATGTTCGATGAAGACGCTCGACCATCCCGTCGGTTTGCGGGTGGTATGGGGATGTCTGAATTTTCCTTGTACCCAATGCGTCACACACTTCCTTCAATAGGCGGGATGAAAAATTCTTACCCTGGTTCGTAAGCAGGTGCTCCGGGGCACCTTTGTCAAAAATGTAACCCTGCAGGAAGGCCTCCACGATCGATCCTGCCGATTGGTCCGCTAGCGGCCATGCCATAGGCCACCGAGTGAGGTACTCGACCCCCACAAGCAGGTATTTGTGACCCCACGGGGTAACGGGGAACGGTCCCAGAATATCAAGGACTACAATCTCGTTCACCCGCGAAACACGTTATCGACTGCAATGGTACCTTCCGCTGTGCGCACTCGTGGCAAGCCTTAACATACAAATGAACATCATTCTGTAATCCCGGCCAATAGAAATCGTTACTCAGAGTCAAAGCCGTTTTCTTCTCCTCCAAGTGCATCAATCGCTCGTGCGTGTCGCGAATAAGTTCCCCTCTCAAACATAGTGGTACCACAATACAAAACTTCTGCAAGACGACATCCCATCTGACCAGGAGGTCGTCAACGAGTCGAAGAAAAGCCCGATCATCCGACTGTTTAGAATGAGAGGCCCGAAGCCTCATTTTGGTAAGTGAAGGATCGTCCACTTGCAAGCGCGCCCAACGATCCCGTGACAATCCCAGCAACCCAGGCTCTTTAG